ATAAAACCTTTTGAGAAACAACAATTTCCTGTTAACACAAACTTTTGAAAAATCAGAGTGACGGACTTTTAAGAAGAGCTATGCTGTGTTTACCATCAAACAAGAAGCGATTAGAGGAATATATTCCAAAAGTCCTAGCTTTTTTGAGAAAACGACTGATTTTTTAGAAATATTTTAACATAGTGATTCTATTTTCATAAGGGTACCGTTTGATTCAAAATGGCCGACTTCATGAGAGGTTTAGACGATGGCTCCAATGAAACTTTTTGTAGGTGGGGGGCTCATACAGATGTATGCCAAATGTCATTATCCTAGGAGCGAGCATGGCTAGGGGCTGAATTATTTCCTGGCATTATCTGTCCACTTGACCGACTATTAGGCGAGAACGCAAACTTTTGAAAAATCAGAGTGACGGACTTTAAAGAAGCGCTTTGCTATTGTAACCAGCTTACAGCAGGCTTTGTAAAGAACGTATTTTGAAAGTTTTAGCTCATTTGGATAAAAGGCTGATTTTATACAATTTTCTGAAAAGAGGTCAGTGCTTTCACAACAGAGTAAAATGAAATTCAAAATGGCCGACTTCCGGTGGGGTTTAGACCATGGGTCCAAGAGGCTTTTAGTTAGGGCCTGATGAGGTGCAAATGTGTTCACAGTTTCAATATTCTAGGACTAAAAACGGCTTGGGGCTGGTGGTTTGAAGTTTGTTATTTCTAGGGGGCGCTGTAGGAAAATTAAGCCCCGCCCACAAAATATTGCTCTGGATTCCTGTTTGGAGTTGGACTAGGATCATCTCTTGTGATTTTGGTGCAGATCTGATTATAAATGAGGAAATGAGAGCCAATCGAATTTTCATGGCGAAACGCCTCACTTCGCCATGGCGCCACGGCAACACCATTTGACTAAAGCTCTCTGTGCCTTAAACGAAGTTAGGACAACATGTTGTCTGTCTGCTGACACAGTTTTAGGTTGATGAGGTCAAGTAGGACAGAGAGGGACCATTCCAAGTAAAAAACGTGACTTCCGGTTCTCAGGGGGCGTGGCTTTAATTATGTAAAAGTTTTAATATACAGTTTTGTTGGGAACTCAGAGAGGATTAATACTACCAGGTTTCGTGTCATTTCAGTTTTATTTGTAAAAGTTATTGCATTTTGAAAATGTTGGCGAGTACGCCAACTTCGAGGCCTGGCCACACCCCTTTAAAATGCTGGAAAACTCAAAAAGTTTGATAAGTTTGGATCTCACATGCCTTATCTGCATACATGCCAAGTTTGAAGCCGATGGCTCACCGTCCCTATGAGGAGTTCGCGAAAGTTCGACGTCAACAAAATTGAAAAATTGCCAAAAATCGGCCTTTGACCCAAAATGGCCGACTTCCTGTAGGTTTTAGAGCATACCCACAATGTAACTTTTTTCATGATTTGGTGAGATCTATGCACCTGCCAAATCTCAAAACTCTGCGACTTATAGTTTTCCCCAACTCACGTTAGGGGGCGCTGTAGAGGTGTTTGGCCACGCCCATTTTGGATTCCATTAAAATACGTAAATTTCCGCAGGGGGACAATTTACTGCCAGGTTTTGGTGAGTTTTTGAACATGTTAAAGCTTCCAAAAAGCTGCTTTTTTTGTCAGGAGAAAAATAAGAAAAAGAATAATAAACGATACAGGAACAATAGGCCTTCGCAGCGGTGAGCTGCTCGGGCCTAATAACACGAATCAGGAAAGAGGAGGAGAAACAATAGAAGAGACCGGCTGGTAGCTTTGGTTATGCTAACGCTTATGCTAAGCTAACTATTAATATTATTTTTAAATATGTGCTTTAAGGTCTTCATGTGTTAAGTTAATAAAATAAAGCTCAAATGAAAAATAAAAAAGAGCAGTCTAAACCAAAAAGCTCCACCTTTCACAAGAAGCTCAAACAGGAAGTGATGTCATCCCACTGTTGGTTCATTAAGGGCTTTATGAAAACTTTAATAAGGCTTTTGCATGAAAGTAAAAACAAAGAAAAACATTTCCAATTGATTTTCAAGCTAAATTTTGAACTTTGACAGAATTCTTCACAAAGTGGAGGTTTTAACACCTTGATAGAATCCAAGAGTTGTGGTGAATATCTGATTTTCTACCTCTACAATGAAACAACAGAGAGAAGTGAGTGAGAGGAAAGATGGAAAAGACGAGGAGAGAGAAACCTGCAGAGGCGTCTGCAGACGGGAACCTTAACTTCCAAGCTCGTCCTCCCCTTCCTTCCATGACTAAAATCCATTATCGTGTGTTTAGTTGTCTTAAATGAATCTATTTTAAATACTTCCCTGGAGAATAGATGATATATATACTATAAAATAAAAATAACTGAAAAAAATAAATAAATAAAGAGGATGTCTACATGTTTTATATAAGATCAGTTTTAGATTTTTGTATGAGATGTGATATTTTGTGTGAATTGTTATTCTGTTCTCATGAGAAATTGAATGTACTGTGACTGCCAACAGGCCTGAAACTGATTGAATAATTAATTATTGAATAAATAAATTATTGTTATTGCAGAAACAATTCATCTGGTTCTGTTTTTCTTTTTAGTTATTTTAGGTATTTAAAAACCTAACAGGACAAGTTGGTTCAGTTGTTTGGTAAAACATGCAGTACCACCAATGACCAAAAGGTGGCAGTGTTGAGCAGCTAAATGTGAACAATTACATTTTGTTGTTTGTTTTTTGTTGTTTTTTTAGGTTTCTTTAAACTGGACCTGCATAAAAAAATATTTCAAAGTTTAAAAACAGGCCTGAGAAAAATGCAGCTAAAATATGACATCATGTTTGATATTATGACGCTTCACAAAAACATGTTTTTCTTTCATTAGAATATTTTTTTTCCATCTGATTACATATTGACAAAATTATTTTTCATTCATTTATTTTTAAATTTATTTGAAATAACAATTCATTGAATAGTGAAACAGAATTTTATATTTTTAAGTGTTTTTCATGTGTTTTTCTCAATGGCTCTAACTGAAAAAAGAAAAACTAATAATTAAATATTTGTTTTAGAATTTGAACTGGTTTGCTACGGAAGAGGATTAGGGCCACTGAAAAAAAATATGTTAACTGATTTTTTTTATTTTATTTCAGTATAGTATGGGAAAAAAGTCAGAATTCTGACTTTAATCTCAGAATTCTGACTTTTTTCTCAGAATTCTGAGATTAAAGTCAGAATTCTGACTTTAATCTCAGAATTCTGACTTTTTTCTCAGAATTCTGACTTTAATCTCAGAATTCTGACTTTTTTCTCAGAATTCTGACTTTTTTCTCAGAATTCTGACTTTAATCTCAGAATTCTGACTTTTTTCTCAGAATTCTGACTTTTTTCTCAGAATTCTGACTTTAATCTCAGAATTCTGACTTTTTTCCCATACTATACTGAAATAAAATAAAAAAAATCAGTTAACATATTTTTTTTTTCAGTGGCCCTAATCCTCTTCCGTAGTTTGCTGCCACAGACTGGTGTTACTGGTTTCAGGGCTAAAGTGAACCAAAACTGCTTTGATGTTTGTTGTTATTATCGTTAAAATACCAAAAGTTTCAGCTATTTAATCCAGATTATTTCTCAAATAAAATGTTATTAAAATTTATCTTTCACAACATAATTCAAAAGCTGCCGTTTATGTCAACATTTAGTAGAGTTACATCATTAAATAAAAATAGCCATTTAACACTAACCAACAGTTATGAAAAACAAGGATGATAAAAATAACAAGTAGATGAAGTAGAATAAACAAAAAGGGAGATTAGCAGAAACATATTAGAATTACATTTACAGGATTCATGACATCAAAACTGCCCTGAGACGGACTGGAGACCTGTCCCGGGGGACACTTTGAATAGATTTTAATCTGAATAAATCTGTAATTTAACTGAAAGGTCATTTTAGAATTTGTTTTGGTCTTTTAAGTTGCTACATGTCAGAGATTATTGTAATATTATCTCTGATTCTTTCCTGTGATTAAGATGATTCAAACAGCAGCTGTCTGAACTGTGGTCTGACCCAAGATGGCCGCCCTCTAGGCACGTCAGCCTGCGTCCAATGAGGCGTCTAGTTATCGAAAAGAGGGCTGAACTTCCTGAAAATCCGTCCAATCAGCATCCAGTGCCTCCAGACTGGAGCAGCTGCTCTGTCTAACTTTTCTACTGGAGTTTAATTTGGACGGAGGAGGGGGGAGGACAGCGGAGGGGGGAGGATAGCAGAGGGGGGAGGATAGAGGAGGGGGGAGGACAGCAGAGGGGGGAGGATAGCAGAGGGGGGAGGATAGCAGAGGGGGGAGGATAGAGGAGGGGGGAGGACAGCAGAGGGGGGAGGATAGCAGAGGGGGGAGGATAGAGGAGGGGGGAGGATAGAGGAGGGGGGAGGACAGCAGAGGGGGGAGGATAGCAGAGGGGGGAGGATAGAGGAGGGGGGAGGATAGAGGAGGGGGGAGGACAGCAGAGGGGGGAGGATAGCAGAGGGGGGAGGATAGCAGAGGGGGGAGGATAGAGGAGGGGGGAGGACAGCAGAGGGGGGAGGATAGCAGAGGGGGGAGGATAGCAGAGGGGGGAGGATAGCAGAGGGGGGAGGATAGAGGAGGGGGGAGGACAGCAGAGGGGGGAGGATAGCAGAGGGGGGAGGATAGCAGAGGGGGGAGGATAGAGGAGGGGGGAGGATAGAGGAGGGGGGAGGACAGCGGAGGGGGGAGGACAGCGGAGGGGGGAGGACAGCAGAGGGGGGAGGATAGCAGAGGGGGGAGGATAGCAGAGGGGGGAGGATAGAGGAGGGGGGAGGACAGCAGAGGGGGGAGGATAGAGGAGGGGGGAGGATAGCAGAGGGGGGAGGATAGCAGAGGGGGGAGGATAGAGGAGGGGGGAGGACAGCAGAGGGGGGAGGATAGAGGAGGGGGGAGGACAGCAGAGGGGGGAGGATAGAGGAGGGGGGAGGATAGCAGAGGGGGGAGGATAGCAGAGGGGGGAGGATAGAGGAGGGGGGAGGACAGCAGCAGCAGCAGAGTTTGATCCCGGGAGGTTTTCAGACATGAAGCTGCTGGATGAGCGGATCCGGTCGCTGCTGCGGCTCCACCTGCAGCAGACCGCCACCCTGTGCAGCGCCTTCTTCAGCTTCGGGCTGTGCGTCTCCTCGCTGGGTCCCACCATCCTGGACCTGCGCTGCCAGAGCCGCTCCTCCCTGCAGAGCATCACCTGGATCTTTGTTTCGCAGCAGTTCTTTCTGCTGGTGGGCAGCAGCGTGGGAGGATTGTTCAAGAAGACGTAAGAAAAACTTTGACTCAACATTTAAACTACAAACATTTTATCACATATTTCTGTTTATTAAAGTAATGCGATTATTTTATTACATTAGTTTATAAACTATCCACCTTATGCTTGTTTAAATCATTAAGTTATGTCCTAAATAAATAAAGTTTAAACTTTGTGATAAAAGCAGATAAACAGTTTCTCTGAGTTCATTTGACTGGCAAATATCAGCAGCGCCATGTTCAACATGCGCGGCTGAAGCTCTGTTATTATGGGATGGAAACATGATGGTTACCATGGTGATGAAGCTGTTTCAACACTTTGTGGATCCTGCAGAAAATGTTTTAAATTAAAACATCCGACATTATTTAATGCAAAATCTAAAAGGAAAAGAAGGAAATCCAACAGAATTTGACTTGAAAAACACACAGATGTTTCAGCTCTGATCAGATGTTTCAGCCCTGATCGGATGTTTCAGCCCTGATCAGATGTTTCATTCATGACCAGGTGTTTCAGCCCTGATCAGATGTTTCATTCATGACCAGGTGTTTCAGCCCTGATCGGATGTTTCAGCCCTGATCGGATGTTTCAGCCCTGATCAGATGTTTCATTCATGACCAGGTGTTTCAGCCCTGATCGGATGTTTCAGCCCTGATCGGATGTTTCAGCCCTGATCAGATGTTTCATTCATGACCAGGTGTTTCAGCCCTGATCGAATGTTTCAGCCCTGATCAGATATTTCAGCCCTGATCAGATGTTTCAGCCCTGATCAGATGTTTCATTCATGACCAGGTGTTTCAGCCCTGATCGAATGTTTCAGCCCTGATCAGATGTTTCATTCATGACCAGGTGTTTCAGCCCTGATCGAATGTTTCAGCCCG